AACCTCATCAGCATCCCATACAAAGCAATGGAGCGCCTGTTAAAAAGCGCCACCCTTAAGCATTTCTTCTCGAATAATCTTTTCCCCTTTACTCGGCAAGGCTTTCTTCCCAGCCCGTCATGCATAACCAATATGCTTATCTTCATGGACAGCCTGACAGACGCCAAAGACAATGGCCATGTCTCGGATGCTATCTTTTTCGACTTTGCCCAAGCCTTCGATCGTGTCCCACAAGGTCCACTTGTACATAAGCTAGAGGCCTATGGGATCCAAGGAGAGGTTCTCTGCTGGATTACATCCCTTCTTGATAACAGAACTTTTGAGATAAAAACCGGGTCGGACCTTTTCTCTCCTATTCCAATCTCCGCTGGAGTTCCTCAAGGACCCGTGCTCGGTCCGTTGTTGTTTCTAATATAAATCAATGAACTTCCCGACCTTATTTCCAGCAATATCCTCCTTTATGCTGATGATTTAAAAATCTGGAATGCTTTTGGTCCCATTGCACTGCAGATTGACCTCGACCGTATTAAGGGCTGGTCGGAAGACTGAAGTCTCCTTCTAAATGACAGTAAGTGTGTCGCTTGGAGGAGACTCGGGGAACCTATTCGTCATACATGGTGCATAAAGTGCAACGGATATCACGAAAGTTGACCTTAAAAAGGACCTAGGGATTTGGCTGTCTACTAGTTTATCCTTTTCTTATCACCACCAGATGGCCGCCAAAAAGAGATTTGGGACTCTTGAGATGATAAAAAGAGCCTTTCCCCGAATAGACAGGCATGCTTTTTAATCACTCTACAGAGTCTATATAAGACCATTGCTTGAAAACGCAAATCAAGTCGTATACACCGGCTTGAAGGACATACTCGCCATCGAGCGTTTCCATCGAGTAGCCACCAAAATGGTCTTTGGCTCGCGGCATTTCTCTTACGAGTCTCGTCTTGAAATTTTCGATATTTATCCACTTGAATTTTGAAGACTCCGCGGCGACTTAATCCATACGTACTTTTTCTTCCGCACGGGATTCGTGCACCATTTCTTTACCACAGTAGTTGATAACAGTCGGAGGGATCACGACAAGAAGCTCTATAAACCTCGACCCCTGACGAACCTTAGGCAACAGTTCTTCTCTTATAGGGTTTGAGCGATTGATACACGTGTTCGAGGCAGAGGTCCAAGGGTCCTGGATCCAGTCGGTTTTTCTTGTTCAATGTCAAGCGGACGTCTGTTGATCTGAAAGGCATTCATGGAAAACAGGGTTATCAACCACTGGAACGACCTTCCATTGAAGAGTGTTAGCTGTTCTTCTAGGGACCGCTTCAGTGTTATTAGATACTCACTTACATAAAAAGATTAGCATTTACTCTGCTTTGCTAAATTAGTATTTTACTCTGTTCTCGGTATTCCCCGTAGCCCCCAAGAGCGGTACTACGCTAAGTTTTTAGTGACTGTCTTTTAAGTCAACAGAAAACCGCTGACATCGAAACGGACAAACTGACCGGATCCGGGTGACTTGGGCCTCTAAACATGAACCCGTGAACAAATCGCTGAAAACGAAGTACCTTATCAACTACTCCATAAGCATTTTGCGTTACTAAAGCGTCTCTTAAAATCCGTTGTGAACATAGCAAAGTGTTAAATGCCAATCCATTTTTAGCCACCTCCAACAATAGGTAGAGAAGAGGCTAACACAGTCAGCCTTCTATCAATGAACAATGAACGTATATGTGTCCATATATATGTTCCCTGAGCAGGCGAAACGAGTGTCCAATATTGGATATGCGATTAATGTCTGTGCCATAAAAAACATCAGTGGATTATCAACGGATTAGTGACTAAATTAAGGAGCAGAAGCTTATGAGGATTCCGTAGTTCCGATCGTAGAACTGCGCAGTTCTACGCTCTGCGCAGAGCGATAACAACGCTTGAAACAAGAAACACGTGCATGTAATCCTATGTATTGCAGTATCTTGACTAGGGCGAAGTAATAATCAATGTGGTCTTTAAAAACAGGAGTAGAACCAAGGGGAATAATCTATCCTGGAAAAGCACACACACACCTCGCAGACTCTCGTCGAGAAGTTGTGACGAAAATCTGACCGTTTGGAACTCTGTCAACGTGAAACAGTGACATTAATAGCATAAATAATACGAGACAAAACTCAAGAACATACTAAGCAGAAGAAAGAGGACACGGGAACACCAGAATTATCCGGAACTCCGTGAAGAGGCCCGCCAGACCCACACTCAATCCGTAAAACCACCGAAGATCACAACCACTTTTCAAGCGACCAATGAGAAAGGAGACGTGTCTAATTGGCTGTTCGATTAATGAAAAATGGATCAACGGATGAATACATTGGTAACGGAAGTAGGAAGCAGCAGCTGTTGTCAGTCCCATATCACGACGCGTAGAATCACTGAGTCAAGGGTAACAATGCTGCAACGTGAAAACCAGGTGCAGTATCTAAGCTAAGACAGAAAATGATGATCAAGACAGGCCTATGTAGTGGATCTAAACGCTATATACAATTCAGGTGCGAATACAAAATCAAAGGTGATAAAAGATGAAAATAACTGACTCACAGTAGTTCGTGAAGGTGCGCCGTTTGGAGTCCCACTACACGTAATGGAGTATCTAATTGATGTGATTTATCGTGTAGTTCTTGAGTAATCTGGAATGCCACAACAGAGATAATTTTGTTACTAATGAGTAGTTTGGCGGATTAATGATTTTAGACGAGACCCAACTGTGAAAAGTCAGGGCTTCGGCTGGATTAGAACTAGCGACAGAAGTACCATCCCCCAACGCGGCAAGTGCTCTACCAGCTGAGCTACGAAGCCACGCCAGTTCAGCTCAATCCAGTTCACAGGAAGTGGCGGCTAGCAGCCTGGTAGTCCAGTTTCTTGCGCTGGTAGGCAACAGCTTCCTGCGCTTCGACTGAGGATCCCTTATCAAGCTTCGTCTGTCTGACACCCGTAACCTACAAAAACAATGACAGTCTCGCACGTAAGGAAAAGTAAAAAGGATTAGAGGACCAGAAAATAACTTGCATGCATGTTCGTTAATAAAATAGAGACAACCGTACTGAGGTAATCACGCATACATACACATCCGTACACATTGATTTTGACACAACCACTAATATGCATATGGTACCCCAGCTATATGTTACTCTTCTATGTAACTTTGACAGTTCAGTGACGCCAGGAGCCCGAAAATTTCACATTTGGACTCGGTTACCCACCCGTCCCACTGTCTCATATGGAATCCACCAAATGATCCGGGGGCTCGAGTGTCCCGGCAAAACTTCTCGAACAGTTCACGCCGGAATCCACCAGCGCTACTGTTGAGCATAGAAATTTCCCAGCTCCTGGCGTGGCTTCGTAGCCCAGCTGGTAGAGCACTTGCCCCGTAGAGGCATGGTGTTTCTGCCGCTGGTTCGAGTCCAGCGAAAGCCTTGAGATAATTCTGATGACAGGTAACTAAGAAAATTTTGCCGCAATAGCCAGTTGATCCCGCTAGCTTCCATCACCCCTAAATCTGTTTACTAGCGATGCTGAACGCAGAGAGAACGCGAGGCTCGCGACCGGAGAAGTGCGATTTGTATTTGTTGATTACTGATTAATTCGACTAGCTTGGTTCAAACGTGGGCTGCACATGTGCAGTTGAGGAAAGTTGAAAGCATGAATAACAACGAGAATTATGAAATTAAAAACACTGTACAAGATGCTACACCTACAAACTGTAGTGAGACCACCTTCGAGGTCTCTAAAATCCTAAAATCCCTGCGACGAGAGAGTTGCCTAACCATTACCACCATGCCTGTTCACAATACCCTGTGAATGTAAATTTACTTCAAACCACTCAAATCGGAATTAGTTTGTTGGCGTAGGTACCGCAGTCTTACTCGTGGCTGTACAATAAATCCGCGCCATCTCTACTACCGTAGGCTGTATTCATTAGAATAACAATATTTTACCTGTTACCGTTGAGAACGCCGTTCAACCGGTCTGACGCTTGTTTGAATTCTTGAGGTCGACTGGATTTTCCATCGACATTCGTCCTCTCTGGCGGCGGTCCTGCGGTTTTGTTTAAGGTTACCTCACGTCCAACTCCCTAGCGCATTTACTTGTTACGTTGAAGTTTGTTTGTGAACGGTGAATAAACCAATAAATGAAGTCCGTCCGTAGCTTCACCGTCGTTTTATTACGACTTCCGATTCGTGTTAACGTAAACCTGGGGGAAACTATAGACGTACGAACTAAGGAACTATCAACCCGAAAAAACTGAAAACAGTTTTGGCAGGGATTTCAAGTTTCGCAGGAGCTCAGTGAGGAACACCTATGTCTAGACTCTAGTCGGCGAAGTTGAATGTCAGTTTGAGAGGGGTAGCGCCTCAGATCGCATGTTATGACTGTATGAGGAATCCATTTGGATGCTGCATGTAACCTGTAGACCGTGAATATCTCTACCATCTTTTAGTTAAAAATTATGTTGTAGCTACTCAAGTTGTTCGAATTTTGTGACGTTGCAGTTCCTAAAATCTTCGAATTCTGTTGCCTGCGGATTTTTTTGTTTCAATCGTCCGAAGACGTAAGCAAGGAATGTGCGGTAGTTCATTGGCATAGGGATTAATGGAAAAATAAAGGAAAGTGGCATTCTACGTAATTTCGGAAAATGGAGAGTAGAATGTGATGAAAATCCATGTCATAGATGTGGAAACACACGCTTCTGTTTAAATTCGAACGTAATTAAGCAGGAAAGCTTGGTTATAGTTTCGACAATCGAACAGTCGTTGGAACGTAAATACTGAGCTTTTTATAAAACTACAAACGCGAGGAACGCCTGAAAACCTACTTCGATTTAGTGCAATGCACAAAGACTGGACAAGTACGTCGTGTTTTATTTGTTACATTTGACATCATTGCCATTCGTTTTTACGACTGTTGTTATCAGTTCCATGAAAATCGGATATATGCAAGAATGGAAACGAGGTGACCTGTTGGAAGAACTAAATCAGCGAATACTCTCAGCCGGAAAGATGACGACACTCATAACGACAACCGTGTAATTCACCGGTAGGGTGCTTCAAGGCTGAAACGAGTTGGAAATGGTCATTTAGGCGCGAAAAGAGATTTTTCAAATTTTTCATGAAATATTAAAATACATATTACAGGACAAATATATGGATTTCATTGAGTATAATAGTGGTGTTGCAATGAGAAAAACCGGCTGTACCAAAAATGGTCCGTATTTGCACTTTTGTTGAAAAAATGTGTCGCCATTTCTTTTCGATAAAAGCATCATGTTAGCTTTCCTAATCGATTTTGCGTTCTGAAAGTGTTTCCACCCTAATTCTCTTGGTGGAATACATGTTTACATCTGACAGAAACGCTCAATTTCGCGTGGTTTTGAAGATAAAATTGAATTTGCAAATTTCGACCACGTTGCGTTTACATTGCAATGTACACGAAATATCACGGTCATTCCTAATGAAAGCTATGTCGCCGCAGTTGTTGGTTAGTTACACATGTGAATTATACATCCAGCCTGTTTTCCTGATCGTATTTGTGGCGGAAAACAGTCCACGTTATCACGTGATTGTTTCTACCTACGATATGGTGGAAACGTGGATAACACGTCTCACCCTATCATTAAAATCGTGCGTATTGTTTTGTTTATTGCTTATTGACCATGCTTTTCTGTAGCTGGCCACGTGTACGCAGGCCAATGCTCACTTATCCTACGGATAATGACCAACTTCGTTGCTCGTCACTTCTCCGACGAAAACATTGATTCTTACTTCTACTGTTTTAGCTACAACCCTTCTATCTTCGGCTAATGGATGCTCATGATTCCGATGACTGCCGGTCTACGTTTTCGCCTGCTGTAGACTTCAATGACGGCTGCCATTATGTTATCTAATTTTTCGCGTAGCTGACGAAGACCATTACAACTTATTCTTAACAGTCTAAATACTCCTCAACACCGATTTCTTCCATGTTCCTCTTATCAACGTTGATCATAGCTTAAGTTAACTGAACGAAGCAGTTAATAGTGTGGACGCATGCTACGTCTTTAGGCGTTGATCGTAGCTTGAGTCAACCTGACGGAACAACAATTAATGTTAACGCACACTACACACTGTGATTTTGATCATAGCTTAAGTCAACTGGACGGAGCAGCTACCTATGTATTTTACTGGAACAGACTCCTGCACTCGTTCAATCTACCGACAATGAGTCCACGATTAGTAGGATGGGAATCATAAAGCAGACGATTGAGAGGGTGATTGTGCTCCAACTCGAAAGGATTCACAACCAGACACGCATCTCGTCGAACCACATGAAATAGTGATCTGCAACATGTGTCGCGAGAACTGGTTCGTTAAAACTAACAACAGTTGACCCACTGGACACGTCGCCACACAACTGCATACACTCCTAAGCCTTTTGTACTTCGTACAACTATAATAAATATGCATGGTTTTCGGGCAAACGTGTCACCTTACCCTATCGTACTCTGAAGCGGTTTTCGACATACGGCTCGTCCCACGAACGTAAATAACGTCCACCTCGTCCATGTACCTCTCAGAACTCTCCTGGTATTGTGAGGAAGTACAAAATTCGCGATCCTTAAACATCGCCCTGAAAGTCGCATTATAATCCATCTCCTAGAAATAAAAAATGAACAACTGAAAATAAAAACCTAACGACAAGCATGAACAAATGGATTAACAATAACCCCAGCATCCTTTTGTTAACATTGCAACACGCCATCGACCACAACAGCATCAGCCATACCGATTTTCGAAAACAATTACGATGAAGGGGTGTTCAGTTAACGGTCGGTTAAAACAGGCAGATGAGATCATGACGCAGATTTTGACGCAGATTTCAGTTTCTGCAACAGGTACCGAGCTATGAAAACGATTTTTTCCAGGAATTTTCCCTAACGCGACAGCTCAAGAACTCACGTCCTACGACTGGCTTTAATCCATTTAGATGGATGCTCAGAAATTTCGATCATCAATGTGAGAATCAGGTCACTTTTATTCCGACAGAGCCATACCCAGTTAACATTTATTACCATGGGGTGTGCAATATAGGCCCTAGACGTTAACCTACGGAAGGCTTTGGTGGCACGCCATCCAACGTTTACAAGGAACTGTTTACCCCTCTGAAGAAAGTGAGGCAAAATAACAGATTTATTTCCAAAATGCGGTTGAATGGAGCTGTTAGACAGGCTTGAAACCAGAGAGGCTAGACTGCCCGAAAAATCGTTTAAGTAGCGTCAAAACGTTGCGAGCCTCTCTTGCTTGTATTTACACTGTGGGAGCTGGGCTTGAATTCTCTCCCTAAGGCAACCGGTTGAAAAGAAAAAACACTCAAACAGTAGGTAGAATTCGACGGGTGCCAGGCACCCATAACCTTAAACTTCTTGGCATCTAATTCGAAATTATTCGCCTGAGAACAATTGACCAAGAGATTCGGATGATTTTCTAGTACAGAATGAGCATTGTGTGTATTCAATGGGAGCAAGACGTTAACGTCATCCGTATACAGTGCCAGCGGAGAGGAATGTGAGTGAGGAAGTTCACTAAGAAATACAAGGGACAGAAGAGGGTCAACAGCGGGAAACTAAGGCACATTAACGAAACCGTCTTGGTGACTGCAGTACTACACTTTGACGGGCATACGACTCTGTAGATCGATGTTACACATTGGCAGAGAAGTTGCGAGAAGATAAGTGCCCCTGTGGCCAACTGTGCACTGCTGTTGACATGCAGGACAGCACGGTCATTGGATGACATTCACAAGGGTGATTGCGCCAACCACCCTCAAGAAAGGAGCAACATAAGCAAAAATCAAACTGTTTGATACGGAGCCAATAAAGAGAGACTGCGTAAGTAACAAATCAAAGGGCTTGACAGGTCTTCCGGCGGTTTTACGCAGCCTTCTGGATAGATTATATTCAGGACCAGGAGAGCCACCTTTACGGCGCAGAATCCTCTCAATAATGGTTGTTGATGTGGTATCCACAGTGTTATCCATCGGCTCGGCAGTTGGAACCTGAGGATTTTGAAGTGTCTGAGCAAAACTACCGCTGTAAATGTTCATCAAAGAATTCGCAGCCACAGCCAGTGACTCCTGTTGGATCAAGGAGCTACGATGCCGCGGCCTCTGCTTTCCGAGTTGACGATAAATGTCGACGCAAACTTCTCGGGTCATTGAAGAGTCATGTGGTTGGGTTCTGTTGGCGATGCAAGCGACCCCCTCGAATAAGCACGATGCATCGGTCTGTGAGTTACGCACTAGCAGTACGACCACTCGCGGACTGAAAATATCGGTAACGCCCATAAATCCACCGTTTCCTAAGAATGAGCTTGAGTTTCGGAACCACGGAGTAGACGGTGATTTTCGTGGTGCCCGGTGCAGCTTCCTCAGTGGATTTAGGA